TGGCATATCTCAACAACAAACCTGTGGTTAGGAAACCCTGTGGCTCTCAGGAAATCATAGGTCAGTAGATAAACACCACTCTCATAGCCCCAGGGCCTTCCCACACGAGAGGAGAGTCTTATACTTTGTCCTGTAAGTATGCCCAGAACAGAGTCCAGCCTCTGCACTTCCTCATCCCACACTCTCAGCAAGACCTGCTTCCCAGAACTCAGCTCTGCCTCTTAAATGACCATGGCTGTCACAGATCCAGGGTTGGGGTCTCAGTGAACCAACCCCAGAGAGTCTGCTCCTACCTCACTGTAACATAGAACCTGTGAGCACCTCTCCCCTGGGACAGACTCAGAGTCACCATCCTCTCAAACGATGGTGTCAACTACGATAGATATCATTGGTGAGAGACCCTGGTGCTAATCTTTCTGGCCTTTTTTTGTTTTTTTTTACTAAACATAATGGTCTCCAGTTCTTTCCATCCATCTTACTGAAAATGATAGGATTCTCCTTGTCATCTTTGTGTGGCTGACCTCAATTTTGACTGTCCATTCACTGTTGATGAACACTTAAGTGTTCCTTCCTCTCTCTCTTCCTTGTGAGTGTTTTAGTGGAGATTAACTTCAGGGCCTCATATTTAGGGGAAATGTGCTATTATTGACCTATACCCCACACCTCCCTTTATTTAAAAAAGCATTGTTTTTTCTAGAATAAAATCACTTTAGTTTAATTAACTCACATATAAAACACCACACAGCTGGCTCAAGGAAGTCAAACACTTGGACAGCCCAGTTTAACAATCCTCAGTGACCCCCACACAGTGGGCACTGCCTTCCATGGCCACTAATGCAACAGACTTGTTAATAATGAGGGTTAGTTTGGCTTCACACTTCCACTACCGGTCAGATTCTTACCATAAAGTAACTTGTTCATTAGAGCTTACATTTCAGTTCTTCAGTGTGAAATAATGTTTCAGTTCTTGGTCAGGTTAAGCAAGCATTTGAAAGTCTACACTGCCTCAGCACGGCCTTGAAACACCATAGGGTGACCCCAGTTCTGGGCACACTCCAGAAACTGATTTCAAAAACACAAGACCTTGCACATTGATGCTCTGCCAGCCAGGCTCCCTGGTAAGGGATGTCAGGCTTTGTGGGCTCCGCATTATCACCCCCACTGAAGCCCCCTGGTGTGGGTGTGCCTGTCACCCCATCATGAACCCACAGCCACACTGGCTGCAGTGGTCGCCATCTGGGCAGACTGTCAGAGGGGAACAACCTGGGATGAGAGGATTTGGTCTCTATGTGTCCTCCTGAGTGTTTAAGCTGCTCATCATCTAGATATTCTAAACTGTCAAAAGATGTGTGTGTGTGTGTGTGTGTGTGTGTGTGTGTTCCCACCCTTTATGATACACACTCAGACAAAAGTGCAGTTGTGAATCTGTGCACTCCTGCAGAGACCAGAGTTACAGATGTTTGTGGGACACCTGGCTTACTATATGGGTTCTGGGATTAAAACTCCAGTCCTCATGATTGTGCCACAAGTACTCTTAACCACTGAGCATCTCTCCAGTGCCTCCCCACCTCCATTTAATTATTTATTTTTTATTTTGAGGCAGAGTGTTGCTAAATTCTCCAGTGGGGGGGGGGTTTCAGGAAATGGAATTCCAGATGTGCTCCACTATATTGGCAATTACTCCATTTCTCAGCAGTTGTAAGCAGTGATTCAGTGGACATGAGAGTGTAGACATCTCAGGGCCCTAAGATCATTAGATATACTCATTGGTTAACCTTGAATCACCTAGTTGTGAGTTCCAAAGAGCTGGGATTAAGGGCATGCCCTCTGCACCTGGCTGGTTGCTCATAGCTTCTTCTTCGTTTTTGAGTAGTTTCTTTTTATTTTCTATTAGCATACAAAGTGTTAGTTTCATTGAAAATAAAACTTGCCCTGGGTGGTGGTGGCACACGCATTTAATCCTAGCACTCAGGAGGCAGAGCCAGGCAGATCTCTGTACATTCAAGGCCAGCCAGGTCTACAGAGCGAACTTCAGGACAGATACCAAAACTACACAGAGAAACCCTGTCTCGAAAAAACAAAACCAAACAAAGAGAGTTACGAGCGGCATCTGGGAGAAAATATGCAGTTTTTGTCTAAGACTGGATTATCTCACAGTATAATCCTTTCCAAATTCATCCATTTTCCTGCAAACTTTATAATTTCATTTTTCTTTTTGGCTGAACAAAATTCCATCATGTACAGGTACCATATTTTCATTATCCATTCATCTGCTGATGGACACCTAAGCTGACTCCATGTCCTAGGTGTTATGACTAGAGTAGCAATGAACATGGATGTGCAAGCATCTCTATGGTAGGCCTTGGTGGTTTGAATGAGAATGGCCCCTATAGGCTCATATGTTTGAATGCTTGGTCTCCAGTTAGTGGAACAGTTTGGGAAGGATTGTGAGGTGTGGCCCTGTTGAAGGAGATGTGTCACTGGGGGTGGGAAACTTGAAGATCTGATGTGAACTCTCAGCTACTTGTCCAGCACCATGCCTGCCTGCCTTTGGCCAGGCTCCCTCCCTCTGAACTAACCCTCTGGAACCGTAAGCAAGCCCTCAACTAAATATTTTACTTTAAAAGTTGCCTTGGTCATGGTGTCTCCTCACAATAATAGAACAAGAAAGACATAGGGTATAGAGTCCCTTGGTGTATGCCCGAGAGCAGTATGTCTGGCTCATATGCCAGTTCTATTCATAATGTCCGAGAAATCTCTGTACTCATTTCAACAATGGCTGTGCTCCTTTCCAGGCCCACTGAGAGCATACTAAAGGTCCTTTCTTCTTGGTCTTTGCCAACACTTGTTATCTTTCAGATAAGAGACGAGCTTGCTAGGTGTGGTGGAAGCAGGAGACTCAGAACTTCAAGGATATCCTCAGTCACCATAGTGAGGCCAGCTGACACTGCATGAGACCATAAGGAAAAAACAGAAAAATAAAAGTAAAAGCTGGGGGCAGGGGGCATAGTGGTAGCACAGGCTTTTAATCCCAGCACTTGGGAGGCAGAGGCAGGTGGATCTCTGTGAGTTCAAGGCCAGCCTGGTCTACAGTTCTAATTCTAGGACATCCAGGGCTACACAGAGAAGCCCTGTCTCAGAAAAAAAAAAAAAAAAAAAAAAAAAAAGGAAAAAACAGCCATTCTTATAACATGAAGTGAAATGCTGTAAATTATTGTTTCCAGTTCGACCCAGTAAAAGCAAAGTGTATTTATTGTTTTACATTTTCGTATATATTTACAATGTGTCTTGGTCATACCCTTCCACAACTTTCCCACTCACATCTCTTTGTTTGTGGTGGAGGGATTTTTGTTGTCATTTTATTTATTTTTATTTTATGCACATTGGTATTTTGCCATGGATGTTGGGTCCCATGGAACGGGAATTACAGACAGTTTTGAGCTGCCATGTGGGTGCTGGGAATTGAACCTGGGTCCTCTAGAAGGGCAATCAATGCTCTTAACCCCTGAGCCATCTCTCCAGCCACTTTGTTGTCATTTTAAAGATTTTATTTATGTGTATGTGTGTGCATCTGTGTTTGGAAATGTGTGTGTGTGTGTGTGTGTGTGTGTGTGTGTGTGTGTATAGTCCACAGTTGAAGTTGGGTGTCTTCTTCAATCCCTCTTCATCTCATTAATACTATGTAGCCTGGCTGTCTCCCAACACTGTAACTAAAACTTAAAGGCATACACCACCATGCCAGACTATCCACCTTAACTTTTGAAGCAGGATCTCTCATTGAACATGGAGTCTTCTGATTCAGCTAGCCTGACTGGCCAGGCAGTGAGCTCAGGGATCCCTTTGTCCTTGACACCCCAGCATTGAGATGACAATGTGTCCCACCACATGGATCCCATTAAACTTCCTTACTCTGAACTCCTGTCCTCCTGACTGCTGAGTGTTGGGATTCCAGGCACTCTTGCATCATCCTGTCTGCTGTTGGGTGGGAACCCAGAGCTTCCTGGGGGCTGCACACCAGCTCCAGTCACTAAGCCACACCCCCGCCCTGTGTTGCTTTTCACAGTAGCTGTCCTAACCAGTGTGAGGGGACAGCTCAGTGTCCCTTACAGCTAGTGAAACTGAGTATCAATCCACGAACTTATTAAAACTCTGTCATAAAACAAACAGGCTATTCACTAGCCAGGCCAGGGGCAAATCAAGGCAGGCACTAGACCCTGGGGGCTCTTAGCATGCCCCAGCTGTGCCCAGGCTGACTCCTCCCAGAGAACTGTGGCTCCAAGTCAACAATTGAGAAGAACTCGTGTACACTCCTAATTAAATAGAATAAACAACCAAGAAGAACAATAAAGGACAGGGCAGGGCTGGAGAGATGGCTCAGTCAATAAGAGCGCTCCTCACTTTCAGAGGACCCAGCTCAGGCCCCAGAAGTCACATTCATTGTCCCACAGTGACCTGTAGCTCCACCTCCAGTCACTCTGTGAGATGCCCTCTTCAGGCTTCACAGGGACCTGCCCTCATGTGCAATACCACAACACACAAAAACACCTGCACATAATCTTTTTTAAGGATGTAAGGGTATGATTGCTTTGCCTGCATGTAAGTGTATGTACCACATACATGCCTGATGCCTAAGGAGGCCAGAGAGGGCATCTCCTGGAACTGGAGTTACAGATGGTTTTGAACCATCATGTGGGTGTCAGGAACCGAACCTGGGTCCTCTAGAAGAGGAACCAGGGCTCTTAACTGCTGAGCCATCTCTCCAGCCCCCACAGTCAGTTCTGTATGAAGTCTGCCTTCAGTGTTGGCAGAGCTCACAGTCCTTGTCTTTGCCCCTCCCAACAGAAATGCCCTTCTTTCTGGCATTTTCTTAGCTCTTTACTGTTCATTTCCCCAGTATAAGTTTTAGGATCAGTTTGTCTGGTGCCAGCCTTGTCCTCCTTCACTGTCCCCTCTTCAGCGGCATGTGGCAGGGACTCCCAAACCTGTACTTTGTCTTCCAGATGACAGGAGACATGGAAAGCCCAAGACATCATGGGAAGTCCAACCAGGTAAGCACCTACTCTCCCACTGTGCTGGTGAAGGGTAGCCCCTCCCTGGGGGCTCCACAGTCTCTTGTTCCCTTTTGTCTCTACATAGCCATGGCTGGCCTGGTGTTTCTATGTAGACCAGGCTGGCCTCAAACTCAGAAATGCACCAGCCTCTGACTCCTGAGTGTGGGGCTGGAAGATGTGTGCCACCAGCCTCTGGCTCCTGAGTGTGAGGATGGAAGATGTGTGCCACCAGCGCCTGGCTCTCTTATGTTTCCTATACAGTTCAAGGCTTCAGGAGTGGCTGCTCCAAGGTGACATTCTCATGTTAGTGACCAGGCAGAGAACACAGGCTCCAAACCCCTTTAAGACAACACATGGTATTCGTGTGTGTGTGTGTGTGTGTGTGTGTGTGTGTGTGTGTGTGTGTGTGTGTGTGAGAGAGAGAGAGAGAGAGAGAGAGAGAGAGAGAGAGAGA